TACGGTTGTCCTTCTTATCACTTAAACTAAATCGTTTTTAATCACTCCCCAAAATTTGAGAATTCTTTTGTAATTCCATCATTACCTGGGGTTTTTGAGTTTTTCATTTGTTTTAATGAGTGTAAACATTCATCTGCTGTTATTTCTCCATCACATATAATATTATCTTCCTCGTCTATTGAAGGAATATCGTAATTCTCAAGGAAAGACTGATTTGTTTGACTTTTTTTTTCAAATTCTCTTTCGAAATGATTTTTGWTCTTTTTAAGAATTTGTGGAGCATGTTTGAATTCATTATTATTCTCAATATCGATTATTTTTTAACATGCGATTTTGATTCATTTCATTTTTTTAAAGAGAGAAAATATTTTGTATTTTTCTCGCCGTCTTGATACCATTTGACTTTGSATCTCGTTGAACTAGGTAATTATGTTTTTGCTCCAGTTGATCAAAAAGATCTGCCCGAACATTTAGAGCATCGGGATCTTTTTCCATCCTCTTTTGCTTTCCAGAGATCGAATTTGTTGTCCTAAAAGCTGATATTTAAGAGCGGGTGTCTAAAAATATCGACTAACATTGTAAAAAATTAAAAAATAAAAACAATTCCAAAAAAATCTCAGACATAGCCCCAGGTGAGATATAAATGGGAAAAATAGTAAAAACTTGATCAGAGTTTTATTTATCGAGAAATCGGCGATTTTCTGTTTTCGCGTAATTCAGAGCAAATTTACCGTCTTTTAGACTACCTCACTCAAAAATCAATAAAAAATTCAGAATCAATCCGATTGAAAAATCCTTTGGCGAAATGAGAGATGAAATAGTTTGCAACAATGCTGTGAAATTGGATTTGCACTTCTAGAGTTTTTTATTTTTTTTTAGAATTTCCAATTTAGACAATTTTTGTAGATTGAAAAACATTACTCACTTCAAGGGCGAAAAACCTTTATTTCCACATGGATTTGAAACAAGTGACTATTATAGCTGAAAAGTACAAGGATTCATCTTCCAAAAGCCGTAATAACATTTTTGGGCTACTCAAATTGCACGATTTACAAGGCCTCGTATTATCTACTTGAAAGGTCAATTAGCCGCCATCTTGAATGTCATAAGACGTGACGATTCGAAGCATTAAACCAAGAATATCGACTTATTATTCAATATTCATGTATACCTACTAATATAAAATAGTCGATGGCTTTTATAAAGGTTAAAAGGCCGAGAATGATTAATTTTTGAATGTTTTGTTGATATATAAACACTAGCGATTGTCACGCAACTCTAGTCAGTATTCGGAAAAATACACACAAGCTCCGGCAAGGACTGCACGCATTACATTATCATACTCTTACCTTTTGGATTGTAGAAATCGCCTTTCTAAATCTTCATCCAGCTAGAATACCAATTCTAACATTT